TTGACTGGGACTTAGAGTAGGGTCTTGCTGTATACTGTGCGGGAGACGTAGTCGCAAGTAAAGAAGACAGGGTAATAGGATGGGGCGATGAGATAAGTGGAGTGATAAGATAAGTGACAACGATCAAGCAAGGAAAGTAGAGACAGGCACAAGGTCAAGAGAGACGAGCAAGGGGGTCGGATCTTGGGTGTTGGTGTCCTTGGTGAGGAGTGGTAGTTCCGTTCTGTTGTGTGGTTCGGAATCTGTGTTGGTCCTGAACTCCGGGAGGACTATGCCTTGATACCCTTAAGTTCGGCCTTGACACTCCTTCACGACACTTAAGTTCAGGATTTGTGTTGTAGTGCTGTCTCACTACAGGATGCCAGTTGTGAGGATTGGAAGTGGCACGAGGAGCGAGCTGTCCCAACTCTCTCAGCTCTATGTCATGGAACGTCTGCGTGCTCTGCGTGCTCTTGTGTGGAGCACCCACAACATCCGGACTTCTGGACAACCCTCTCTGAACGCTTCAACAGAGTCAAGATCCAAGAAACCCCACTGAGCACATCGCCAATCGTCCGTTTTCACCAAAACACCACCCACCCACTCTCCCACCATCAGTCATGATACGAGGTGTGCTGGCGATCTTTGTGGTGGGAGCGCTGTGTCGCGTGTGCCCAGGGACCGTGGTGCTGGAGGAGGACGGCGCGGGCGCGTTTCACATCAACACGAGCGATCCTCACCAGCAGCCAGTGTTTGTGAACGGAATGGATGTGCAACAGATGTACACCAGGCTGCAGGAGCAGCAGAAGCTCATTGAAGTTCAGCAGGACATGCTTGGAGCCCAAAACATGGCGATTCAAACACTGGGCAACACCCTCCACGTCTTCCGTTCCGCGTCCTGCCCAGCGTCTGCAAGGAGCACCATTTCCGCTGGTTCTGGAGACTACAAATGGAATGGGGGCGTCTTGGCCCCGAATGGCCTCATTTACGCCATCCCTGCCGCTGCCACGGCGATCCTCATCATCGACCCAAACTCCAACACTGCTGACAGAACCTCAATTACTCACAGTGGTATGGAGGGGCGCTTGCCCACACTGACCTCATTTACTTCTTGCCGAATGGAAAGCGCCCTGTGCTCATTATTGATCCAGCGACCAACACGGTCGACTTGACAACGATCCCAGACGTAGGTGTTGGCGGGTCCTACAATTCTGCACTGCGCTTGGACAACAACCTCATCTACGGCATCCCGAGGAGTGCTCCTGCCGTGCTGATCATTGATCCAAGCACCAACACTGTTGACACAACGAGCATCGCTGGAATAAGTGGTGGCACGTGGGAAGGGGCGGCCCAGGCTGGCAACGGGCTCATCTTTTCTGTCCCCTACAGCTCAAAGTCTGTGCTCATCATTGACCCGAAGTTGCGAACTGCAGACACAACAACCATCACAGGCATTTCTGGTGGGCGCAAGTGGCATGGCACCGCCTTGGGCGGCAACGGGTTCATCCACGGCATTCCTTACGACTCGCGCTCTGTTCTCATCATCAACCCCAACACAAAGACGATTGACACAACCACCATCAGCGGCATTTCGGGTTACCAGAAATGGCATGGAGCCGTGGCAGCGAAGAATGGGTTTGTTGTTGGCATCCCTCGCGACTATTACAAGGCGCTGATCATCGATCCCATCACCAACCGAGCCACACGGCACAGCATCAGCGGACTCCCTGCCGGGGACGCCAGATGGTACGAGGTGTGCTTGCAGACAACGGTCTGATTTACGGCATCCCATACCGCGTTGGCACGTGCCTGGGGTGGATCCGGGATGCTAAAACTGACGAAGAGGG